GCAGTGGAAACGTAAGGCCTACACATATGATTGTGAGAAAATTCAACTACCAGTCCTTAATTACCATAAACGAAGTAAGGTGAATGCCCCTCTTATAACAGATCTATTGATAGTCTCGAAAAACATAGTTATGAAACGAAAAAATGTGTTAAGTCGGGTGACAAAATGAAGTGAATCAAGTGGTCTTTTGTAGGTATTGGTTCTAATTTTGATTACGCTCTCTATACATATTAGTTCATTTTATTTCTCATAGACATACACAGCACAAACTAAATTCACTGACTTAGCCAAATGTGTGTCAAAAATTACACAATCTGAATGCTGCTCACTTAATCTATCTGACAGAGGCTAGATATTAATTTCACTTCTAATTACTTTAAGCTATCACTCCTGGTTTCGCATATGAAAGTACACATGAAGGTATGCTTCTAGATTGGCATATATTTGAACTAATCAAATAACTTTATACTTCATCAAAATGCATATGGTTATGGTATATAAATACAACATTAAAGGGATAAGCGGGTGAGGCTTCTTGACTCATGAGCTTGAATATGGTAGTACGAAGTGAAAATGAGCCCACCACATTTAGGCGTATGTCAGCAGAAGATGCAGGCATTCAGACCTCACCAAATGCTCGTTTCTGAAGCTGGCGAATAATGCGTTCTGTTGACCGATACAGATTGTTGCCACCGTGACAAAAGCGACGACTATGGTGCATCCGAGGAAAAAAAGGGACTCGTTTGACTCGTACAACAGCAACAGACGAGAGGCCAATGAGGCGACTGACCGACGAGAAGACGACTTCATTGGGCTGGTCATGGAAAGCGAAGTCGGAGTCATCTTGGCCGAGAGCTCTTGTGTCTCGAAGCTGGGACGAAGAAACAGGTCAGTCTGTCTGCCCTGGCGACGTGGGTAAATTGAGGCATACCAACTTGCCATCGCTTATTGGCCGGGCCTGCTAGAACTCAAGACTGATCAAGACCTAGGTGAGTAGACCCACCGGATCAATCCGCGAATGTACTGGACAGGTGTACTACTCTACCGAGATAGTGAAGGGTCGGCAGGGTTGATCTGATATGGCCAAACCGATTTGACGGTGTTGCGGCACGAAAATGTCGATCGGCATGGACGACAATCGATGGTTGCGTAGAGAAGCGGCCGATTGAGTTTTGAGTGACTACAATTTCGACCAAAACGAAATACAGGCTTTAGGTGAGCCCATGCAGGTAAGCATACCTCAACAACGACTATCAATTATGGCAGTAAATCGAACATGTTCTCACCAACAACGGCTTCCATGGCAGAGATGAGAATGTACCAAGACTTGAAAACTGCCCCAGAAGGTAGGTTTCCACTAACAAATTGAGGCCTCCTTCCACATTTTGCGGGTAAATAGCCACTTAAGCGTGTGTTTTTCTTACACGAAAGAAAACCATTTCGAGAGCGCCTCAATTTCGAGTATGCCCTGAAAGAAACTTTCTCATTGGCTTGTCTCTTGTTATTATCTCCAGCTGCGTGTTGAGCTTGCGATAGAAACGAAAATCGAGTTTAAGTATGAGCTACTCAGAGGACAGAA